TGCAACACCTCCCTCCCGCGAAAAGAGGAAATTTCCTTCCTCTAGTTTAACGAAATTTCGCCATCCGCTTTCCGCGCCGTTTTCCGCTCAGAATAAATCCACATTATTCCTGGACTCCCCTTCGCAATCGCGTTCCAGTCGTATCGGGTAGAGATGACATACGTCCGATGCGACCAAGGACGTACCTTGTTGGCCTTCAAAGCGTCATAAGACCTCTGTCTGTCCGCCAGACGAAGCGATTCGTGCGTGGAGTGTGTTCTTCCTCCTATCGCATACGTTTCTTGGCAACCGGCCAAGCGGAAGACTCCTCGATTGGCTTCCCGATCGGGCAAACTAATCAGGCGATTTACTGGGGTAGACATGCTATTATTAGATTAACGTTCTGATATCGTTCAAATAAAATAGCGGTTGCACCTCCCCCCCTTTTTCAGAGATATGAGGACTACTATCTATCCGGTCCAAGCCCTGTTTCCGCCAAGCTCAATAATGGAGAATTAGGAGAGAATTTCCGTGTTTCCTTCATGTTAAATGTTGAAGATGCGATGGACCGAGCCGCTGATGGAATTCTAAGCGTATTCCCAACCATCCCATTAGGCTCGGGTGCAGGGTAATTACTTAGAATAAGGACACTATTACTGCAGGTTGCAGACATTTTCCTACCAAATTTTCAAAACTTATTCAATATAGGGTAACATATGCATATCAATAGGTACCTGAGTACCAAGTTTTAGTTTTCCATGTCTCTCCGTTTTGTGGGAACGGAGCGAAAGTGGCATCATTCAAATGGAATTTATTTCTCTGAAGAAAACCGCGATGATTTTATTCGAATAGATATTCCAAGAATCGCATCACAACAAAGCCACATTCTGAGGTCAACGAGTATTTTATCCATTAAAAATTAGATGAGGAAGCAAGTGCCCATTTACTAATTACTTTATTGTGTACACATTTAGTACACATGCCATTGCCCGGCATGGGAAGCCCATAATACAGTACTTCCCATGCACGTTATGCATTTTCCCCATTTCGGGCATTTGTCAACTTACTTTCAAAGAATCTCAGAAGAAGCATTCTACAATCCACGCAAAGGAATTGCTGTGGAACTCCGACCTGGGGTTATCCACCAGATATTTTTCGTAGCGATTCCCACCTGATCCAGGTCCCATCGAGTTGAAGCTCATTATTATCGGGTGAATGGATGAGAGAGTAAAATTGCATTTCATTTGGGAAATTCCCTTGTACCCGTCATTCCAGCTCTATTCATTCACTTTCCCAGCCTTGATTATATTATGACGAATCGGGCAGATTGCTGATTCTTAAGGCAATTTTAGCGAGCCGAAAACCGTCGCATTTTCTTCTGGACTCACACGGCTAATTCCAGAAAAGACGCGAGAACAGTTGGGAGTCACCTAAACTGCTGTGGAGTGAGGAAACGAGTTCAATGCTGTTATATATTGCGTCTCGTATTTCACCAAGGCCCCCGTACCCATGACAGCAATTTTCCCTAAGTGACGGGCACAACCACGAGCCATTGCCTCACAACGGAACGTTTAATTATTTTTTGTACTGGCCTCTCCTTGGATGAGAGACCCGGTTCATCCCTGGCATGGAACGTTTCCAGCAGGTCCACAAGCCTTTCTGCATGCATTGAAATAAATAACCCCCTAAAAAAATACGCTATGGGATACTCGTATGCTTTGCAAAGCAGCAGAGAAAGGCATAACGACCTTGATGAGAGAGAAGTGTAATCCTGATGAAAAAATTATTTAGGATCCTATGAGACTTTTTAAACAAAAATTGTAAAGGGATCCTATAGGGTTCTCATGGGAATCCTATAGGGATCCTATAGGATCGTATACGATCCTATATTAAGTTCACAGGATTCCTATAATATATTCATGTTTCATGAATCTCGTAGGATCCTATAGGATTTTTCCGTAAGGGAATTCACGATGGACTTGATGCACATGGCCTCTCCGAACGCTGCACGGCCAGGCAATATAGACACTTCCACAGCGTAATCGATCCAACGAAACGAGGGGGAGAGCTACTTTTGCATGCTGCGGAGCCGTGTGATCGATCGTGCGACAGGGTTGGAAAGAACAAGGAGAAAAAAGTTGCAGAGTTGATCCGCCGTGCACCTCTGTGTGTCGGGAATGTTATAATGGTACTTTCCTCGCCCTAAATGATAAGAATCGGTATTCGTTGATCAGTAATTGGAAATTTAACTGTTGGATGAAATATGCGTCTGGTATGAAATAATGCATGCATTCCTTCTCAGAATTTTTCCCTGCAAAACAGGAAAATTTTCCAAAAATTCATTGATACCGAGGAGAGAGAGACTCCCAGGTCGAGCACGACCATCCCTCCGATGCCGGAGAGAAATTGTTCCAGCGATGTCAGCGCCTGCTCATCCACGATATCAACCTGAAACGGGTTGGAGGGTGAATTTTCACGGGCGCTGGGAGACTCGATGGACGAGGACCGTCCGTTCGGTGGCGGAGAAGCTTGTTGATGATTTTCGTTGAGTGTTGTCATTCGTCTGCGAGGTATCTCGCGATCAAGTCGTGATGATTTGCATCGAAATGAGCCCGTTGCGGTCAGAGTTCCGAGCGATTCATCTGACGGAAAACACGTGTGCCGCAGCAATTGAAATTCGTTTCGATCGGTCGAAGTGGGCGATGAAACACGATAATTTGTTGAGCGAGCCAATTGAACGACGACATAGGGCCTTTGATGCCGAAGTGAGCAGCAAGCATGATCGTGAGAAACGCGGACGCAAATGCCTTACAAGTTAAGGCGATCCCCGACTCGGCCCCATTCGACCCTCCTAACGTCTCTAGCGCCTCGGTCTGTCGGCCATGTGGTTCATGGGTACAGACGGTATCGTCATTGGCTCGGTATCGAGCCGATGTTTTCGTTTCTGGGTAACCTGGTGAAAGGGGGACGTCGCAATAGCCTTCCCGATTACAATCGTGAGTCGAGCGATTATCCGTATAATATGTACTATTTGGCTTCACCTTTGCCTTCGTATTTTATTTTTTGTAACAACCGCCTTATATCCTCCTTGTGACGGTACGAACGTTTATTTTTGTTACATGTAAGGGCATACGAGCATGCTCCTCAGAAGAGCCCGTCTCGCAAGTTTACACTCCCTGATGGAAGGCACCCACGCCCCACACCAATAAAACAGTCACCCGTTTGGAGGAGAAAAGGAAAGCCATGAATATAAGAGGACGCATGGTAAACCTAAAGCACTCACGATCGCGCATGATTCATCTACTTGGACAGTAGATGAATCATGTGCGATCTTGGATGTGTTTACAATTCATCTTGCGTGTTCTGCAGTCTGCTCTACACTTCATCAGGTGAGACTGGTACTCTCCAAAAGCGATTCCGGTCACACTGTCATTATTCTCGATGCCGGCTCCAAGCTCGCTCTATCGTTCCAGCGTGACGTCCTATTCCACAGAAATATTCATGATTTGAATTTTTTTTAATTCTCTCACACAATTTCATGAAAAATGATTTACTGGAGACACCCATCATTCACTCATATTGTCTGTGATATTCGCCAAGGAAAACGGAAAGAGCATCGTGGTAAAAAGCATTCAAAGCTATAGTAAAGATTTTCATCTAGCATAAGGTTCTAGGCGGATTTTTTGCGGGATCACATTTCATGTCGAAGCCATTCGTACAGAAAAACCAAAAATTGCAATAGTTGGTTAGTTGAGGCTGAAAAGATTCAATCCTAGGCTTGGGATTGGGTAGTACCATGTGGTACTTCTCTAATCCCAGCCGATATGGCTCAATCGTGGAAGTGATAAATCATTAAATCAAAGAATTCGTAAACAACGAATACATTTATTGGAGGAGTGTTTCAAGCTCCCAATATCCCAATACCCATTTTTCTGGGTCTGTGGAAAGTAATTATTATCGATATCGTTATCTCCATACGAAAACACGTAACGTGGGGGCAGTGAGTTTGGAGTTGATAAAAAATATATATTTCCGTGGCTCCTACGTATTCAAAGCAGGATTCGATTTTAACCTGAAGTGCAATTGTTTTCCCAGGACGCAATTCGTCACTATGAATGTTATTGACTCTGTTTGCAGCACCGGTTATTTCGAATCTATTGAATACCAAAACATGTATTAAAAAGTGTCATTTTGAACGCGATAGTACAATCAATTTACAAATTCCGCACGAACGTTGGCTAATGCGTCGGCACCGCTTTCTCTCCATCCGTTGTAATTATCTGTGATAAGTGAAGAACCTTATTCCCACCGACCTCTCACTAATTACAACAGAAAATGTGAAATTGTCAAATATTGAAACAGGGTGTTTCCAATTGTAGGAAGCGCCGATCATCAACAACTTTACTATATAAGTAATTGGGCGTATTTAAAATTAAAAAAGATGCATCACACGGAGAAGGAAAAATAAGAGGGAGAAACAAGTTCATAATCGAGTATTGTTAACAAGTGCTTATTCCAAAGGTATAGAAAAATGCAAATTCCATGTATATTTTAAAGTAAACTCGGATTGGAAAGAATAATTTCAAATTCGACAGAAATAAATGTCCGTAACTTCGTACATGGTCATATTTCTGCAAACATAGCTGAATTTCAGTGAATGAAACTGCGTCGATTTCATAGGAATTAGCAGAAATGAATCTCCCGCGGTAACATTCTGCGTGTGAGGAGTATTCTCCAAATTTTGAAATATGTTATGGAAAAAATTGTATAGACGCGTATATTAATTGCTATACGGTGTTCAACAAGCATAACTCATTCGGCATACGCAAGATGATGACCAGGAAAGGCTTTAGAAAAAAATTATCTGATATTAAGGAAACAAAATAATTCCAATGAGGAAATATACTAATTGATATTAAGTGAATTTGCTAAATATGAATTTTCTAGAAAAAAATGAAAATATGCATGATTATTGCATTAGAAAATGTCATGCTGAAAACGACTACAAATGATTTGAAGAAAATCTGAAATGTGTTCATACTTCCTCATGCCCGTTTTTACTTAGAGATTTCAAAAAAAGAAAAATTGCTAAGTAGGCAAATAAAACGTTGCAATTGTTTACTTAAATCGGAGTTCAGTTTCATCATGGAATTGCGTTTAACGATGCTGCCAATACTTGGAGGCTTCAGCTAATTCAATTTTTGCTGTTGCAGTTGAAAACCCTCTTACAGAAGACGAACGTGTAATGAAAATGCATTTATGTGAGCACCTCGCATGCAAGAAAGCGGCAGAAATTCTAGTTCGTGCGACCGTTAAGGAAGCTTAAATTGCCAAACAACGAAAGAGAACTGCAATTTTAGAAATGCTTCGATTCCAGGTTTCCTGGTTACCCTTATTACGGCATTCTTACTTAGGAGATGAGGCTCACCAAAACTATTTACCCCATGTAATTTATAGATTTCCGTGTCGAATCTGAGCCTTGAGGAGTCGAAACTTGACCCAAATTGCAAGAATTTCCACGCATTCGTAGACACCGAGGAAAGAGACTCCCAGGTAGAGCCCGACCATCCCTCCGATGCTGGAGAGAAACTGTTCCAGCGATGTCAGCGAATGCTCTTCCACTATCTCAACCTGAAAAGCACTAAAATACGGATTTTTACTTTCGGATGCATGGAATTACGATTGGTAACCTTCACTATGAAGGTCATTCGAGTATTCCAAAGAGCAATGGTTGCTTCTTGCCATTCGCTTCGACTGAATACGAGAAACGTTTCTTAAGAATTTTCAAAAAAACCAGCAGCTCACTTCGGCTGTGGGGGTATTCAACTTGATCATGCCGTAATGCTGGAGAGGAATGTCTGGATCATCGAGTTGGATCACGTTATACGTTTTCCTCTTGCATTTCCTCGGACATCCAGGATCAAAATTTTCATGCAATTCATCATAGAAGTTTATAAAACATGTTTGGTCCTGAGAAGTGTTGCAATGGTGCATCATTACTGCTTGGTCGTGTTCGATCGGTTACACTGACGACTGGATACACGGGGCTCCATTCATGAACTCCAATAATGCTGCTTCCAAACACTGCCAGTCATCAATTCAAATATGCTCGATAAACTTTCTCGGAATGATAGGGGACGGGAGAGCTGATAGGGTTGGGCTGGAATTACCTTCTTGTAGTCGTAGTCCTCGTCCCCATTGCACTTACTTCCTGAATGCAAGAATCCGTTGTACTTAAAAGAGAGGCTCAGCATGTAACTCCTTTCGCCCAGCAGGAAGATCTTCCCTGAGGATGTCACATTCCTCACTGCTGTGAACGGTTCGTCCGGCGAGTCTATACGAATCTCGGAATATGGTTCGCCAAATTCACCGGATTCATCGATGGAGTCTTGGAAACTCAAAGCAAATTTCATGACACGGGAAATGGAAGAAAGCTGCATCCGGAGCTTCGATTTAACATGGAAAGTGTAACAATATTTGAGAGGCGAATTTGAGCCGCACCAATTCACCATCAGTGTCTCTCTCCAGTATCCCGCTGTGAAATGTTACGATGCCTTTGTTATTCAAGGTCATTGAAGGAAATGAAAGAATCATAGAAAGGTTCTCGGATATACCTTCCGTTTGATAGACCCGGCTCCCATTGTTCCAGGTCCAGCCACCACGAGGAGAACAACGATAATATTCGTACTTTTGAGGATTGATGGTGAAAGTGCATAAAACCACGATTTTAGAAAGGTCCCTTAAGGAATATTAATGCAGTGCTTCCAAGACGCTAATATTAAGCAATTCCTGAAACAAGTCGCTCCAAATGGAGTTGTAAGCTGAAAGCCCGGTCACGTTGATGAGTTTGAGTACAGTGAAATTCCAAGTGACGTCTGGGCATATTGTGACTTCAGGGTACTCCACTCTGGTTCGGAACTCGATCCGTATTGTCTGGGCCGTTGGATTGCTCTTGAAGTATTCAATCAACCCTTTCGCCTGTTAAACGTCCCATATGTTGTTTTATTATTGGAAATATTTTATTTTCCGTAAACTTTATTACTATAGACGAGAGGTGGGAGATAAAACCTGAATAATGGTGAGTGAGAATCCGGTACATAATATGAGGATCCAGAGTAGTCTCTGTACCTAGACCACCGTGCCATCCCAAAGTCGATCTTCGGATAAACCGCTGGCCATGAAGGATCACATCGACGGTGGTCATTTTCGCCTCATCGTTGGAATGGTATTTGACGTTCCTTGGAGATTCGGCGCCCAGGCAGCGTTAAGGTGGATTCATACTGAGCGAAACTCCGTATAGACTGCATTCCGACTCCCGCTGACGGACAGCCTTATTTACCTTTACGGAGGTTCCGCTCCTTTCGCGGAATTTGTCCGCCTGCGGTCAGCGGTTTCGTGCTCGCGGTGGCCGCTGCCTTCCGTTATACGTTTTCTGATCAGTCTAAATCCACCATTAGCCATACAACGAGTGTCCGTTGTATCAATCGGTAGAATATTGTTTCTTACAGGGATGAGGTCCACAGAATGAAATTTTGCGCAGAAAATATCCTAATGTCATTGTACAATATGTTCAAAGAGGAAATATGTTTATGAGAAAATATAAGATATGTTCATGCAACTCATCGGGTTTTGTTCCTTCTAGAGGCAATGATTAAATAAAGAAAAAAGGGTGACGATTGATCATAGCAAAATGGATGAATTCTTATGTTTTACATGAATATCAAAGTTATTGTGATATTCAGCATGAGTTCGAATGTTAATTTCGCATCGAATTTGACTGATGACCATGATTGGCCCAACTTTTTCGAGAGCCCTATTCAATCGTGAGGATTAAGGATCATACTTTCCTTATAGTATCGTAAGAAAAATGGTGTCCCTCGTTAAGATTTCCAAATGTTTTCGTGCGCAATTCGTATTCTGAGTTACGTGATGGATAAAAAGCACTCATGTACCTCCCCGTACCGCACTAGTTTTCCCTTTCGCATCTGGCAATAGGAATGGTCCATGAATCCTAGAAGAAACAGTTCGCAATGCTCGCAAGGTGATAATTCAGCTGATGATCAACCTGAAGGAAGGGGAAAAGCATTTGAAAAGTGGTTTTAGCACTTCTTTCAAATCGGTGGAATTATTGGGGTTGGTTACAGTTTGCTACATGAGGTAAATCCACTCGTACTCGTAGGTCACTCATGCGTGTAGATCATGGCTGTTTATATTCCTTTTTACGGTTTTAATTTCGTAAGAGGAACTCGGCCGACTCCTTAATCGGTAACGTAATTGTACCTAGTCGAAAATAAGATGGAATAAGAAACATACTTGTATCGAGTCGAGAATAAGTTGGAATACCCAATGTGATTGTTTTGAGTCTATAAGTCGCTGGAATACCTAAGCGTCGCCTGTCTGGTGTGGCCTTCCTAAACGAGTGAAATTGCCTCTGCAACGGGTTTCGCTTTGAAGGAAACCTTGCGGCTCACATACCTCGTTCAGAAGACGCGTTGTGCCGGTGTTCCGGCCTCTCGGTGCTTCCTCTCCCTCTGTCGATTGCTTCGCCCTTGCCGAGTGGGACCATTCTGTGAACTCATGCATATCAAGTAAAATTATGCGAGATTGAAGAGACGAGCGTACCCTCGACGGGGAAAAAAATTATTTCCCTACTTTTCCCGAGAAAGAATGTACTGTTCCAGGAACTCCACTCTCTTCCACAATTCCACGTCGCGTTTGAGGGAATCTCCCGCCACGTTGGAATTGTCGATTCTTTCCATGTTTTCATTAGTGAGGGCCTCCCCTGCCTGCATTGCGTCACCTTTCAATCCGGTATTAATTCACCTCGAAGTTCTTATTGACGGAAAACGTCTCCGTTTAGTGAGGGATCTGCGGCTGAGATAAATGCATCAGTAATCATAACATACCTACTGATAACATTTTCAACCAGGTGAAGGAGGATTTTTGAAACGCTGTTTTTTTTTAGTCTGGCAGACCACCATGCACTTTTTAGTTTGCAATTCCGACAGATGTCCGGACTGTGATTCTATAAAGGGCATGCATGAGTTCCCCTGGAATTTTACCCGTTCTGACCAGAGTGCCATAGCAAAATGTTGCTCATTACGTGCAGTAGATGGTAGGGTTCGTTTTTCGTCTTTACTATTAGGAGGAGAAAATTCCGAGACGGGAAAATGGGTAAATGTTCGAATGCTTGGAATATGCCTGGACTCACCTTCGCAATCGTTTTTTTCCCGTCGCATCTTGTTCGCATCTGACGACGTACGTCAGATGCGAACAAGAAGAGAGGGCACGTCGGATGGACTCGAATCGAAGATTGCGTATAAATCCCATGGGAAAGTCGTCGAGTCCATTGGAAATTCATAGCAGGCACCCATTAACATGCGACATGAGTCCGTTACAGCGAATTTAAAGACGAAACTGACTGCGAAAGAATGCGAATCAAACAACTTTCCAATCGTTCACTGAAATATATTTTTCAGTTTCTTTGCGAAATTCCGATTTGCGATAGGTGAAAACGTTAGCCAGTTCAACTTTCGCAGTTGGCATTGAATATCCGACATATGTAGAGACGAGAAACGTGAGACGGAAACTCTTTGACCTAACCGCATTTCACACAAGAAACTGGCAGCAATTCCAGCTCATTCTGCCGTCGTGTTAGGTTAAAAATACCAGGAAATATATGAAAGGGAGAACTGACTTGATTCCAGGTGTTCCTATTACTCGTTGCACGGCAGTCATGCCAAGGAGATGATGCTCTCCCGCAATTTTTACCTCATCTAATTCATACATGTACGCGTGGAAACTGAGCCTTGAAGAATCGGGACATCACCCACACGGCAAAAATTTCCAAGCTTTCGTAGAGACCGATGAAAGAGACTCCCAAGTAGAGCGCGACCATTCCCCCGATGTTGGAGAGAAACTGTTCCAGCGATGTCAGCTCCTGCTCTTCCACGATCTCAACCTGAAACGCATTAAAAGACGGATTTTTATGCTTCGGATGAATGGAATTTCCATTGGTAATCTTCCCAATCAAGGTCATTCGAGAATGCCGTAGAGCAATTGTTGCTTGTTTGCTCTTTGTTTCGATAGAATACAAGAAAGGTTTCTTAGGATCTTTCAGCGCGAGCAACTCACTTCGGCAGTGGGAGTATTCAACTTGATCATGCCGTAATGTGGAGGAGGAATATGTGGATCGTCGAGTTGGATCACGTTATACGTTATCCTCTTGCACTTCCTCGGACATCCAGGATCGGCATTTTCATGCACGTAATCGTGGAAGTTTATAAAATCTCTATAGTCTTGGGAGGTGTTGCAAAGGCGCTTCATTGCTGCTTGCTCGTGTGTGATCGGTAACACAAACGGATTGATACACGGGGCTCCATTCATGAACTCCAATAATGCTGCTTCCAAACACTGTCGGTCCACAATTCATGTATACTTGATGAAGATTTCTAGAAATGATATGGGACGGGAGAGCTGATAGGGTTGGGCTGGAATTACCTTCTTGTAGTCGTAGTCCTCGTCCCCATTGCACTTACTTCCTGTAGGCAAGAATTCGTAGTACTTGAGAGAGAGGCTCAGCATGTAACTCCTTTCGCCCAGGAGGAAGAAGGTCTTCCCTGAGGATGTCACATTCCTCACTGCTGTGAACGGTTCGTCCGGCGAGTCTATGCGGATCTCGTAATAGGGTTCGCCAAATTCACCGGATTGGTCGATGGAGTCTTGGAAATTTAAAGCAAATTCCATGACTGGGGAAATGGAAGAAAGCCGCATCCGGAGCTTCGATTTAACATGGAAAGTGAAGCAAAGTTTCAGGGGCGAATTTGAGAGGTTCCAATCAACAATCCGTGTCTCTCTCCAGTATCCCGCTGTGAAATGTTACGATACCTTTGGTTACTTGTCATTCAAAGAAATGAAACAAACATAGAAAGGTTTCTAGACATACCTTCCGTTTCATAGATCCGGGTACCATCTATCCAGGTCCATCCACCACGAGGAGAACAACGATAATATTCGTAATTTTGGGGATTGATGGGGAAAGTACATAGAACCACAATTTTAGAAAGGTCCGTTAAGGAATATAAATTCAGTGCTTCCAAGACGCCAATATTAAGCTTTTCCTGAAACAAGTCGCTCCAAATTGCGTTGTAAGCTGAAACTCCGGTGACGTTGATGAGTTTGAGTGCAGTGAAATTCCACGTGACGCCTGGGCATATTGTGACTTCAGGGTACTCCACTCTTGTGCGGGACTCGATCCGTATAGTCTGGGCCGTTGGATTGCTCCTGAAGTATTCAATCAACCCTTTCGCCTGCTCGACATCCCATAATTTTTTATTGGAAATAATTTTTTTTTCTGTAAGCTTTCTGAGTATAGACGAGAGGTGGGAGGTGAAACCTGAATGATGCTGAGCGAGATTGCTGCACATAATATGAGGAACCAGAGTATTTTCCTGATCCCCGACCTTCGTGCCATCCCAAAGTCGATCTTCGGAGAAACCGCTGGCCCTGAAAGATCCCATTCACACTGGTCATCTCTGCCCCATCGTCGGAACCGTCTCGGACGTTCAGGAGAGAATCAGTTCCTCTCATATGAGTCACGTTCCTCTTATACGAATATACTCATTTTTGGCGGACGTAATTCAGGTGTCTGATGATGCCTGTGCGAGACTATAACAAGTCATTTTCATATGGATTGGGATAATACCCTAGGGTTTATGGCCATGAGGTCTGGTTCGATCATCACGAAAGGGACTTCCAGGCAACTTCCAGGGTCAATGGGAGTTTTTCTCTCTTCTCGCCATCTTCAGGATGGACGAGAAGACGAGAGTTCACGCAGGACTTGTAAGGGGTCGGACGCATTGCTCACCGCTCCCGTGAATTGAGAATTTCAAACTGTCGTAACGGAATACGGAGCAATTCGTGGGTTCGTAGCCACTTGCGTCCCCACGGAAACCCATCACCTCGGTTTCATCGCGTGGTTTCCATCGTTCAAAACACATTATTCAATATTTGCAGAATGACTTGCATGGAAGTAGGATGGACCTACCTCCTTCCTACAGGACATCCTACATCCTAATTTAAAGAAGGAAATTTCGGACAGGAGCTCACAGTAAAATGGATGAATGTGCGATTTTTGGCACGTTCCAGGAGAGACAGTTTGACCACATCTGCTATAGGGGAGGGTAAAACAATACTTCAGTAGTTTCTAAATTAAGTTCTGGCTCTTTTCATTCCTTTTTCTAATTTTGCCTCGTCTCTCTGGTGTGGCCTTCGAAAACGAGTGAAACGCTTCCGAGACACACCATGCAAGCCGACATACCATGCAGCCGACATACCGCGTCCAGAAGGCGCGTCGCGTGGATGCTCCGGCCTCGCGACGTTTCCGTTCCCTCCGTCGAGTGTTCGCTCCGTGCTGGGCGAGGCCGCTCTGCGAACGCGAGTGCACGTGTGGAAGAAATGCGGAATCAAAGGAAAGATCTTTCCCTAGACGGAGGAGGGAAGTTATTTCCGTACATTTCCCGTGAAAGAATGTATTGTTCTAAGAACTTCACTCTCCTCCATAATTCCACGTCGCCTCTGAGAGAGTCCTCCGTCTCGGGGGAACTGCCAATTTTTTCCGTTTCTTCATTAGCGAAGCCATCCGCTTTCCGCATCGTGTCACCTTTCAATCAGGAATGCATTCTCCTTGAAGAACTCCTTAAGGAAAAACGTGCCCGCTGAGAATAGAATGGGATTCGTGGCTGACGGTAAAGTATCAGAGATCAGAAGACATTACCAACTTCGCTAAGGAATTTTTTTTTAGGACGCTCTTAGTCCCGTCGAACCGAGCGAAGCACCTTAAATTATTTAATTTCCATTACTTGCTTCCGGATCTGTAATTTTGTTCAGGTCATGGATGAATTCCCCTCGAATGGTGTCCGTCCTGGTCATATTACCATAGCCAAATATTCTTCTATATACGGAAGAGAGGACGCAGTTCGTTTCTCGGCTTTTCATATTGGGAAGAAAGCATCCCTCGACAGGAAAAATGGATGCATTTCTGAATGCTAGGAACACGCCTGGACTCACCTCTCCGCTCGCGTGCCTGTCGTATCGGGGAGAGACGACGCACGTCGGACGCGACCGGGGAAAATCCCCCGCGTGCCTTCAAAGCGTCACTAAGGCCTCGATGCGTCCGCCAGAGGAAGCGATCCGGGCACGGAGTCTGCGTACTTCTCCCGCCCGATGCAGACGTCTCTTGGCGACCGGCCGAGTGGCGGACGCCGCGATCGCCTTCGCAATTGATATACACTAATGAGGGGACTTCCCGCGAGTAGACATGCATTCGTGAGATCTCCGATTTTCATATCGTTCAAATTATATCGTGAGAGTGCCTACCCATTTTTTCGGAGATGAAGAGATCCGACTGCTTTCGATCCGGGCCAAGCTCCTCCCCTCCCCTCCCCTCCCCTCCCCTCCCCTCCCTTCCCCCGCAAAGTTTCTGTCAAGGTCAATTATAGAGAAACTGACGCGATGGCAAAATATCATTCACAGCAAAGAATTGCAGTGTTTTCTTTCGTGCTACATGTTGGTGATGCGTTTGACCAAGCCGCCGATGAAATTCTAAACGCCTTCCTACCCAGCCCGTGACTCTCGGGTGTAGAGTGATTCCACGGAATGAGGACACGCCGTGGCAGCTGGATACGTTCAGGGAAGGGCCAAGAAAAACCCGGACGGTTTTCGACAATGCACTGCACTCCACGGGCTCCACGTATTTTACTGGGGTTTGCGGCAGTTGAAAGAGGAATGAATGAGCTGTAAAATGTCGTATTTACTTTTCAAATATCTTCAGCAGTTTCAGAAATTCGGGAGCTCATTTGAACGACAGACAAAAACTGAGCTGCCCGCTTAGAGTGGGATTTGTGGCTGACGGAAAATTATGAGCAATCAGAAGACATAACATGGGAAGTGATGACATATTCGACTTCGCGAAGGAAATTTTTTTGGGACGCTCTTCTTCCCGTCGAACCGAGCGAAGCCCCTTAAATTATTTCATTTGCATTCCTGATCGCAGTCGGAACCGTAATTCTGTTCGGGTCATGAAAGAGACGAATGGTGTCCGTTTTGGTCAGATTGCAATGGCCAAATACTATTTTGTATGTAGAAGAGAGGACGCAGTTCGTTTCTCGGCTTTTCATATTGGGAAGAAAGCATCCCTCGACGGGAAAAATGGGTGCATTTTTCGATGCTGGGAATACGCCCGGACTCACATTTCCGCTCGCGTGCCTGTCGTATCGGGGAGAGACGACGCACGTCGGACGCGACCGGGGAAAATCCCCCGCGTGCCTTCAAAGCGTCACTGAGGCCTCGATGTGTCCGCCAGAGGAAGCGATTCGGGCATGGAGTCTTCGTTCTTCTCCCGCTCAATGCAGATGTCAATTGACAACCGGCCGAGTGGCGGACGCCGCGATCGCCTTCCCAATTGTGTGCCGTAATGAAGGGATTTCCCTTGGGTAGATATGCATTCATGAGATCTCCGTTTTTCATATCGTCCAAATTATATAGTGACGGCACCTACCCCTTTCTTCCGAGACGAGGAGACCCGGCTACTATTGATCCGCGCCAAGCCCCCCTCGCGCGGTTTCTGTCAAGGCCGATTATGAAGCAACCGACTCAATGGTAGACACTATTCACAGCAAAGAATTCCAGTATTTTCTTTCGTGTTAAACGTTAAGTCGCGCTAGACCAAGCCGCCGATGAAATTCTAAACGTGTTCCTGGCCAGCCCATGACGCTTGGGTGCAGTGTAACACCTTGTGAATGAAACAGCTGGATAGGGGAAGGTGGTATAAAATGGGATACCAAGGTTTGAGTAACTCTGCATTGCTGCCATGCATCGGTAGTGTGTGCATGAGTAGCAGGCATAATCACGGACCATTTGCATATGACGGCATCCAATGGAAACGAAACCCCAGTGGATCAGGTGAGAAATTGTTGTTCTTGACGGTTCCGTTGTAAAAGTAACAGTCAACAAATGAAGCGTTCATGGCCCTTAAAAACACCGGTTCATGATGAAACGTCTAATAGAGATCCTAATGACGTTGCCATTTGGCAGCATAGTTTTTTTTTTGGCGAAGAGTCTCTTAATTTCATTTTTGTCTCTGTTACAACATGGAGGCATGGCGCCGGGTAAAACGGGATACCTCTCATGTTGGTAAAATGGTATATATCCCAAATTACACTGACACGAAAAATCGTTCTGCAACGTAGTGATTACTTGCTAAAGCATACTTGACCTCGACCTCGACACTGCTGAGTAGATAGCCATCAAACCTGATTACCGTTTTCTAAACTTTCCCAGATTTTAACCCAAGAATGCCTTCCAATTATGAGCGCAAAACAAGTCGGCAGTCATGGAGTTGAAGTTGCCATGAATAATTTGATGCGACTTCCAACGGGGACGTGGATTTAAAACAGCTGCCAGACCCTATAGAGTGCCCAAATCGGCACTGGAACGGGGAGCAAAAGGAAAGAAGAAAGAAGCAGTCGGAAGTCCAAAGGGACTGGGGAGTGGACGGCAAACTTTCCCCATTGAATTAGAGCAGCAACTTGTTAACTACATTAAAAACATGGAGAGTATGTTTTTTGGAATAAGGACTTCTGGTGTTCGTTATTTTGCCTACCAATTTGCTGAAAAAAACGCATATTTTTTGCATGCAGGTTGTATCCCATTTTACTCACATAGTCAGAGTCAAATGGAAAACTGACGTAATTTTGTATAATAAAAAATATTTGAGCCCTTAATATGAATATTTTCTAGAATGCTGTCATTTGATGAGAGCCAGATGCATTTTCAACCTACATGACAATTTTCGAAGCGTTGGATGCGATTTCCAGGCCTACAGGTTCTTCCAGACCATCGGTTTCCCATTTTCTTGCAAAACTTTCGAAACTCGTGCAATATTCTGCTGAATATGCATCTCAACAGATTTCCATGAACCGAGATTTAGTTCTCCATGTCTCTCCGTTTTGTGTGAAAGGAAACATCCGTCTGCCATTTATTGCTTAATGCAATAAATGGATTTATTAATAATCGCTCATCAATCAATCACTTAATCAGCAATAATTTAATAGCGTACGTATTACTGAATTAAAAAGCTTTCATTCTCCTTCCAAAGTTTCGAACTCCTTCCTCCACCAAGGCACTTGGGACAACGAGAGAAAACGAATGCCGGGTTGGATTCCGCGAAAGCGCGATTTGGCCGTCATTGATGTTATTGATGGATATTGATGACACAATAGTATGAGGAAAATTGATGGATATTGATGGCACAATGGTATGAGGAAAATGCCATTCGCTTGGAAGACTTGGCTCTGTAATAACAGCTCTTTCCTATATGGAACCTCAAAATTAAAACGAATCTCGTTCTTTGAAGGAAACCGCGCTGATTTCATCCGAATGCATATTACAAGTATTGCATCAAAACACGATCGTATTCTAAAGGGCATGGAGTATTTTCCCTTTTTTTTTGCCAACTACTACTACGCGTTTCT